ATTTGCCTGCAGTGTGAACACAGCCTTGGCTATAAATGACTTTTCAAATGAGGCAAATATTTTCTGTTTGTCACATTATACATGATTATATAAAACAGCTTCTTTACTTTACCTAGGGTGGGGGTAATAGCCAGGTTCAATCCCCCGAGGCTCTGCTGATCGTGGGTATGACTGGCCAGGCAGGTAGCTAAAATAAGGTGGGCCAGTCTGGGACTGAGGGTAGCTCTGTTGGGGCTGAGGTGGACCGGGGTAATGACCTGACCATTGCTGCATTGGATAATCAGCATCCATCGGACCTCGTCTGCAAAAAAGAGTCAAATGTAAAAAAAAACAACAACTATATGTATATGTATATATACATAAATGGTGTAAAAACGTTAACACGATTGTCAGCTGTGTCGTTCTTTTCCGCACCGATGTGAGCAAACAGCTGAATGACAAACAATAAGTATTTTGTTTTCTTTGAGAAAAGACAATATTTGCTGAAATATTCAGTTTAAAACCATTTTTTCTACAACCAGTGGGATTTTATGCAAAATCATAGCTGAGTTTATATTCATTCAAAGGTCACCGTTTACCAGATTCTTTGGGCAGACTAGGATAATATCAACATTGAGGTTTATGGAGAAAGAGCTGTGCTCATTTGATATGATATTCACATACTTAAACTTAAAAAAACCACATCTAAATAAACATGTGAACAATAAAAATGACAATGTTATAAAAGGCAATCAGAGAAATAAACATGATTGACCTGCGTGACTCCACAACACAGACGCAACTCAAGCTTCCAGCTCAGCCTGAAATCACTCAMAAAGAAATGAATAATCAACCTACTGCTGTCACCACAAACAACACGTTTTTTTTTTCCTTGTGTGTTTGTCTTGCAATGTTCTTTTCAKGAATTTCATCAAGAAACAACCAGCAAATGGTAGTAGTACACTGGTTGCCAATCTGCTGACTGTAAGGCTGAAATATTCATGAAAAGCTGCTGGAGATGGTCTGTTGTGGACCGAAGAGGCGAGCGGCAGAAAGGAGGGGGGGTGGAGTCACAAAGACCAGCCAAAAGCTCATCCCAGCCAAAGATCACATAGCGACATGTGACAGTTTTAAGTGGGCTGAAGCTCAGTTAAAGCAAACACACACACATACACACACACAGCTGTGGTAAACCAGTCTAGACCTGTTAATAGATATCCATATCTTGTGCCCCGTGGAAAGCAAGTCCACAAACGTGCTGACCACATAGCCAACATTCYGAGGTATTAGGTTTAATCTCTTAGTCCTTCTGCCCCTTTATTGTCTCATTGTCTCTCAATCTGCTCATTAATCTCACTTCCATTTTCCCCTCGTTTAAATATGTATTAAAGTAACTGCATTTGTTTATAAAGAAAAYCACTATATGTGTCTAATTTCAGCATACTAGGGCACGCACTCGAGCCAACCAGAATTGCTCTGTATTACTTTCCAAATGACATCACCGGTTTAGATGAGAAAGTAGGCGAGGCTCCGCGGCCCCCTAACCAACCACAAAGCTGACCTGTTGGCTGCTGCCTGGAGATAATGTTAATCTGAGCATGAAACAGACTAAACGGAACAGATTTGTACATAAATACTTGCACAGCACAGCAGGAGCACTGGTGGTCTCCGTGCTGACGCTTGCATGTGTCAATCTGGGTGGTCAGCAGAGGGGAAAGTGTCTAACTACGTGCCAGTCATGTTTGAGATGTCTTCTTCAGCCACTCCTGGCTCCACATACACTGTCAGCAGACTTATTTGTCGATGAGCACACAYGGCTTACATTTCTGCTAAAACATGTCGACTAATCTATCCTATCTGTTGCTGGCCGTCTGCTTTTTTGACTTATTCTGCTCTACTTATTGCAAGTCATTTGGAGTAATCCTATCAGCTGAAATGTCTCAAATGTCTTCTCTTTTTTTTTACAATCTGCTGCCATTTTGTCCGCTCTTCTGCCGTAAAGCCGACCAACATGTCAGCGCGTCTGCTTCCCTGTCCGTTCCCCAGCCTTTTTCTGTTTTTAGGTCTTTTACAAGTGTGCCTGGCAGTCCGTCTGCGGAGCTGTGAGACCTGCGCTTCTATCGGTCAGTCCGTCTGTCATTTAGTATTTGGCCTCTGGACATGATAATGTCACTGAGGCAGAGATAAGAGCAGTGGAGGAGTGAAAGGGAGGTGGAGAGGGCAGGGGAGACGAAGATAAGAGGGGGGCAGGAGAAGCAAAGAGAAAGTAGAGGGCAAAGAAAAGCAAGGGTAGGGACTGAACACATCATTCCACAAATTTACAGATTGAATCATTACTAACCTGACATTGTCTACTACCTGTTTACACTAGAACACATTAAAGCTCTTTTCACATTTAAATACAAGACCCTGTTTGGTAATGATTAAAGGAGACATTTCTTTTAAAACCTTTAATGTTTTAGTCCTTCAGAGATCTATATAAAGTGGAACTGCAATGTTTTGGTCTGAATTCCTCCTTACTGTAACTCCACAAGCGTATGTCTCAGAATAACTCATTTTGAGGCTGTCTCTTTGAATCCAAACAAGGCGCTTCACACCCAGCCCTCTTCCAGAGCGGTGCACAATAAAATGCATTTAATGGCTAAGTTAGGTCTGTTTGCACAGGACATTTGTGTCCTTTCAAGAAAGACTTGCAGAGAATGTGTGCAAAGTTTAGGGGAGTATGAAGCAGGTGGAGAGAGGTTTTACCATAGACTCGAATAAAATCACTAGACTGAGCCCCGCCCATTCCGTTCACTGGTAGCGTCTGTGACAGCATGGAGGAGCAAAAATGGTGTCCAAAGAGGGCAACAGCTCACAGCCTCCATAGAAACTAATAGATAAACAGCAAGCTGAACTGGATCTGTTTCATAAATTATTGGTCATGTTTTTACTATAAATTAAAGGCACAGTGTGTAGGATTTGTTGTTTTCAGCGACATCTAGTGGTTGAGTGGTTGAATCATCCTCCCTGGTCCTCCCCCCACCCCCACCCCCCACTTCCGAATGCAAAGGGTTTGCTACGGTGTCTCTCAGGTGTCAAAAACCTTTGATAATTCCAACCGCGATGTCTACCAGCAGCTTCAGGGCTAGTGATGTTTCAAGTGGTAAGATTATGAGCTTTAATAAGTAAAATTATCCCAGCTACAAGGACAGACAACAAATATTACATTTATAGTATTACAACTAAAACCGTTTTTGACGCCGCCACCGCAGTTTGTCCTTCATGAGCCTTCGTAGACAAGATGGCGGTGCAAGATGGTGGCTGCCTGTACTGGCGACCAGCGACCATGGAGATATAAACAGCTTTTTTTAAGGTAAAAATAATAAAACAAGGTCTTTGTCTGCAATGATTAGACATGTTTTTTTATTATTGTCATTAGTGATTATCTCAATTTCGGCTAAAAGAATTGACAAAATCCTACACACTGTGCCTTTAAGAACTACGTTAATTTCATTCAACAATCATGTAAAACAGCAGATTTATAACAGAAAAACTATATAATTTACAAGTAACAATGATCTAAACCAGACCTGAAGTCAGCCTGTAACTTAGAATTTAGCTAGTTGAAAAATGATGACTTCAGCTAGTAATAAAGTATATTTAATATTTCTTCTTACTGTCATAAAAAATAAGAATATTTATATTTACCAGTCAACAGTTAGAAAATGTTCTCTGGTTATAGGATGAAACTTGTCTCTATTAGCTAACATCTTCTTAACAGGTCAGGTTCCTCTAACAGAAACCTAAAAATACTCACATTTATAATATTATTTTACACTCTGTAGGTCTAAATATTAATCACAGGACAAATCAGCTGTAATATTTAATAGTTTGTTAAATTGTACCATGATTCAACAGTGTTAAACTCTGTATATATGCTCCACAAGCTAATATCTGTTAACCACTTCAATAAATAACAGTGATTACATTGACTTTATAAGATTATTTTAATTTTAAACTGTTACATTATGTTCTGCTCAGACCACATTGAGCTAAATAAGATCAAATCTGCTGACTTGTGTTGTGAAATGAGATGTTTTCCTGTTTATCTTCTGTAAATAAATCCATAACACAAACAGCTTTTCTGGCATTATTTAAGACATTAGATATATTATATAAACTGTGAAATATTAATAATAATTGCATTAATATTATTATTAATAGTTTTAATGATTTCTACATCGTCAGTCCTTTTTTTCTGCTCTGTTGTCAACATGTACAGTAATGGGAAATCCAGACTCTTGACCATTTAGCGTTAGCCGTTAGCTTCACCAGCCGATCACATGGTCACCTGGTTTCTGAKCACTCCAGCTGTTCTATAGAACCTCCTTGGGTTTTACCAAAAAGGAAATCATTTTGCAGGAATGGTGAATATGTTGAAAACACCTTGAATTGATTGAATCTGGATTTAAAAGGGTCAGGTAAAGAACAAGTAAAGTAAAAAGTCTATTTTTGAGGATCTGACGCTGGTTGACTTCAGCTGGGGACGTRATGCAGTGATTGGATGGAGCAGGTGAGGTGGAGAGTGTTTTAATTTGTGCGTAAGCTTCATTTTATGRACTTAAAAATGATAAAAAATGAATAAAAATGAAAACCATCACCGCAGCCTGGATGTTATGAAAGTTTCCATACTGGGAATGGTGTGGAAATCCAGTGGTAATCTTTAGAGAATCTATTGTAAATCCGGTGGCGAGTTTGAAATTCTTCTACCAGGAACACAGTCAGCACTGCACAGCAGCTGAGGATTATGGAGTAATGTGGATGGAACCCAGAAAAGCACCCGCCCCCCTCCACACACACACACAAGCAAATGCAACCTAAAATATTTACGCAGACACACACACACACACACGTCGAGATAACGCTTTACAAAACCTACCCAAGCGAACGTACACACATCCTCACACTGTTTCAGTTCACCGCGAGCTGCTAATCACCCCCCTCTCCAACCCCATACTCTCTGGAGGAGGCAAATTGGAGCACAGCTGGAGTGGAGTTTAGGCCCGACGAGGAGACTGGTGGTCTGCCGGTGCACGTGCACACATGTGTGCGTGCGGAAAACGACGGAGAGGAAGACGGAATGAGAGAAACAGATGCAATGATTGAGAACAGCTTCCTGGCACATGCAACAAGTAGTTTAACATAATTGAGAGAGTCATCAAAAGTAAAAAAAAAAAAAAAAAAAAAGAAGAAGACAAATTGAAAACAGTCCAAGCAGAACAGAAAAGTCATTGAGGACTCAGTTTGAAGTGAAACGCAGCTATGTGATACCTGTTAAGG